ACCGGAGAGGTTGCTCACGTACAAGTCTTCTAGCTTTGCACTGCTTCAGACAAACAGGGGAGAACACTTTCGCCAAAGTATTCCAAGACCAAAGTCTTGGTACAATTTGATAGCCCCTTTTCTTCTCTCTAAACGTCCCAAGACAACTCTTCTCCACCTCTCCATCTTCGAACGGACGGCAGCAACTCTTAACAAATTTGGACAGTGAACAACACTTCCCCCGCCACCACTTCGATCTTGTTCAGAATTTGGTTCCCCCTATGAACTCTCATTCTTACCCATTCGTAGGTCGCAATCTCCAAGGGTGAGTCATCCGTCTCTAAGAAACCATTGTGATTCAACTATTTTCGATTCTTCATTTGGTATAAAGAATACATGTTTATACATTGTGCTTGGGATTATCTCATTAACCTTGTAAAGGTCCTTGTATGTCTATATGGTGCCTATGCCCTGTAGATAGCCATACTTATAAAAGCTACCTTTACACAAGACAAAATTATTGTCTTGAAAATCAATATTAGTTCCTTGAGTTTCTTGAAAATGAAAGTTAGCTGAGAAATGAAATTGCCAATTTTATCCCTATTATGGTATTTTTAGCCAAAGTACCAAACATTACATGCATGTGTGTACATATGCACATACATACATAGATGAAGACATAATGCAAACAAAGTCACATAATACATACATGCATAATATATGCATAGATATAGGCATATAGATAAGAAAGGAAGGCAGGCAAGGGATCAGGTGCATCCACAAACGTGCATGTAAATGCATATACAGTTGGAGAAATACATAAGTTAGTTTCTTACATCAGCTGCAGCTTCAGATGGATCCCCAAAGAACTGAATCTGGTTGCAGATAATCTAACTAAATCTGGATTGGGAAGGGATTTTTTCTACAGTGCAAATACTTTGCCAAATGTTGTTGGCCTTGCTCTTTTTGCTTTCAAGGCCATTGATCTTGTACATCTGATATACATCCCTCCCTTTTTTGTTTAATGAAATTGTTATCGTTCGTCAAACAAGATGCAGGCAAGGAAGCCTCACAGAGCTCCACATCTCATAATTCAGAGACCCAAACCATCCCGACCTAAAGTAGTTGACTTGCGGATACCAGAGAATGACATTTTCGGTTTTCCATTCACTGGAAAACGTAAATGGTGAAGATGAAGAAGGGTTGTGCACATTTATCTATCAAAAAAAGGGATGTGCATGTTCCTTTTTTAGTTGAAGAGATCCACAGAGAGCACATGAGGTGACTCATTGGAGAAGTTGCAGACGACCTTTTAGGTGTGGGATTGTTGAAGGTCGATTAGAGTAAATAGGTAGCTTGTTTACCTCAACTGTCGATGTGAGCTAAGTTTACGTTGATTTCTTCAATGTAAACTTTGCACATATTGTTGATGGAAGCATCAGCACAATTGCAGATTTCCATCGATTTACAAGACACGTTTCCATCTCGAACAAACGTCTACAAAGTTTTCAAAATTTGCAGCCAGGCCAAGAGCCAAGTGCCCTAGGCAAGTGCCTTATCTAAGTTTTTAAAAGTTTTTCATTAGTTTTATGTTTTGAGTTTATAGACAATTATTTTTTTTGATAAGTAGTTTATAGACATTTATTATAATATATAAATGCCTTTTTCTTTTAGTTGTTACATCTATTGTATACCATATAGTAAAAACATAACAACTCAAAGCCGACCAAGAGTGGGGAAAACTTCCCAACCAAGAAAACTCAGACAAACCAGAGGTCAAACTCAAACCCTTGTTCGTGTAAAGACTCCAAGTCCAAGCAATCCAGCATCTTTTAACAAATTCAACCCATAGAAAGGCAAGAGATGCGACATTTCCTTTAAAGTTAGTTACAAAGTTATAAGTACAAAAGAAATTACACAGAAGCCCAAAATAAAGTATACCGAAGAACCCCTTGTTTTACAAGTGAATCAGCCATTGAGTTTGCTGATCTGCCTACCCACTGAACTCTAATTGTCATATTCATTGTTAACCATTTAACCTTTGAGAAGATCTCTAAAACTCCAAATCACAGTGTCCGGATCCTTCAGCCAACCCACTATCACCTGGGAATCCCCATCAATGATTAGATGCTCTATGCCTAGCTGATTTGCAAGCTGGATTCCTTGTACAGTAGCACGTAATTCAGCCCTTAATGAGTTTCCCACACCCACAGGACCCGAGTACAAAGATATAATGTTACTAGCTTTGTTTCTCAGCACTCCTATGCCTAAAGGTCCTGGATTTCCTCGGCTACTCCCATCAAAGTTCACCTTGATAAACTCCTCCCCTAGTGGCATCCATTCAACCCCATGCCTGTCCTTCCGGTAGAAATATTAGCTACTGCAAACCAGTTTCTCCATAGGTCATCAAAAGAGTATGCATCAAAGAGCATTAGAGTTTTCAGCCACTGAACTGCCATTGTCAGAATACATTCTTTAACTTCCGAGAAGCTCCTTTCTTTTTCACAAAATATTCCGGTGTTCCTTTCTTCCCAAACTGTCCACAACAAAGCTACTCTTATGCACTTCCACATAACTCTCCCTCTCTGTGTGCCATTCAAAAATAGACAGACTAAACAACAAGCTAGTATCATATGGCAGGTTCCACCTACACTCAAACAACATAAGAATCTAATTCCATAAAGTTGTAGCAAAAGAGCAAGAGATTAGTAAGTAGTGACAATTAGGGGATAAGCACCATTTTGGTCTCCTCATTTGTAGGTTTTCAAAGGTATTAATCTTACCATAATAAACTTCCCAACAAAAAACAGAAATCTTTGGGGCAATGGGCCTAGTACAAAATTATTTAACTGGGAAATTCTGAGGTGCAGAAGTGGAACAAAGGGACTTAAGAAAGAGGAGCAAGTGAAAAAACCTTTCGGGTTAGGGGTCCAAATTCTTGTGTCAGGTTTAAGGGGATCTAAGCAAATAGACTCAAGTGAAGACAATAAATCTGAAACACAAGCACTTTCATCATCACGTAACCCTCTACGGAAACCAAAATCCCAATTTAGGGCCACAAAAGAAGATGAGGAAATAAAACTAGAAACCGGCCCTTCCCTCCTTATAAAGGGAAAGAAAGTAAAGAGAGGGGAAAAGGTCTTTAAGAGGTAGGTTGCCCACCCAAATGTCTTCCCAAAAAAGAACATTGTTTCCAGAATTAACATCATACCTGCCCAGATTGAGAAAAAGGGGTAGAATTCCGTGAATGGCCTTCCAGGGTGTTGCAAGAGTCGCTCGTCAAGATACCCCGGCATCCCAACCGTTCTGCAAACAGCCACGAATACTATTCACCACCTTGTGCCACAACCTCTCTCTCTCTCTCTCTAACGGCCATCTCCAAAGCCACTTCCTTAGTAGAGCTTCATTCTTAAGAACTAGATTTCCCAATCCTAATCCCCCTTCTTCCTTACTCCTGCTGACTATCTCCCACCTAATCAAATGATCCTTCTTCTCTTCCCCTGGCTCCCACAAGAAGTCCCTCATCACCTTTTCTAGCTTCTTGGCTTCCCTTGAGGGTATCTTGAATACAAAAAGGAAATAAACCGGAAGAATAGCAAGTGTCGCCCTAGTCAAGGTCATATATTCAGTGTTATTTGTGAGCTGTGAATCTGTGCTAAAGCCTAGACTCATAATAGATTTTGTTGTGATCTTGTGGATTCACATTCAGGTAAAATCGTAAAAAGGTAAACACATTTATTTTCTATATTTTTTTCATGGATTTGGACACAGGATATATATATTTGTATCTTGTATTATAAAACCAATGTGGAAATATGGCACTAGTGGGTAGTGGCTTCTTTCAAGCATCTTACAGCCATGGAAGAAAGCACTTATTTATTTGGGGCTTCCCCTCAGCTGTTGAAGGAGAGAAAGTATTAATTCTAAGGTTCATGTATTCCACATCCACCACTTATGTGTATTCACAAAGAATGGTTGTTTACATTTGCATCTCTTTTGTTTCTATTATTTATGATTCATTCCCTGTATTACACATTTAGTTATAGGAGTACCATTGACAGAAAAGGACATAAAAAGATATTAAATTTTCTTATAATTTGAAAACCAAATTGCCTTTAATTGGAATTTCTATGGCTTTATGCATTTTGACCATTAGAGACATTAGAATAGAAAGTGCATTGTTTAGAACATATTATGTTTACATAAATGTGTATATGTAATTCTCAATTTATTACATCAATGCCTCCATGTCTAGATTTTTTTTTTTTGATAGATAACCTTTATGTCTAGATTTTTTTTTTTTTGATAGATAACCTCCATGTCTAGATTTTAGGGAATTTCCATGTCAAACTGACACTACATGTCTATGTCAATACAGAACTCATGTCCATCGATTTATGTCTTGAGTTGGTTAAATATGATTCTACATTTATTGGATTTTACCAACTCCTTTAAAAGTCAGATATTAATAGACTGGGGATTTGACAAATGATAGAATACACAGAAAATAAAGCACGGATCTTGCTGATAAAAAAAAAGAAGCATGGGTCCAGGCCCAATAGCATGTTAATGAAGCACTACAAAAATTATAGCTGACAGCCAACCAATTTCTTTTTATTGACAAATATAGCCAATAGAGTGGTTGCTCATGTCTTATTAAGGGCAGGAATGGTATTTTAATTTCTATTTTCTTTTGATTAAATTTTTTAAAATGAACATTAGTGTCAACACTGTCATTTTCCAATATCATCTAATAGAAGATTGATTAAATCCATTGCAAATTATAAGTGTTGTTTCAGTAAAATGCTAACTATAGGATAGATTTTAGTAAATCCATGAAACTATAAGGGTAGTTTAGCACATGACCCTTTCTATTATTTATCTTTCGTTTAATAAATCCCGTGCATCGCACAGGTCCCCGCTAGTTTCTTTTTATTGTGTTAATTGGAATACTCTAGTTTAGCTCAACAGATTAAATGGGTTTGAGAACTTGGCATATTTTAAGAAACTAGAAGCATTACCATCTTATCGTTATTGTATCGAGCAGCTAAACCAATACCAGACTTCCGATGTTGACCAGCCCAAAACACTTCACTGCCCAAAGATAAATGTGGAGTGACACTCTGCAGAAACAAGTGCAATTTAAACTGAGTACGACTACAATTTGCAAAGAAAGTAACGATTTTACAAAACTGAGTAGGACTACACAAAAAGAAGTATATAACATATATACTGAGGGTGGAAAATGACAATGGTGAGTTTGCTGAAGCTTCACAAATTACAACTGAAATAAATGCCCTAAAACCGGAAACACCACAAAGTTAAATTTAAAGACAGTAAGAGAACCCCAAAATTAGAAGTTATTATCATAGATAAGAAAATAAATGATAACCATAATTTGATGTGCCAATTGAAGTCAAGCTATCCTCTAATTTCCTCTCCTTTATGTATTTATTTGCTCATTGATCAATAAGAAAAAGCTAGTTTACATAAATGTATTTATTTACTTATTTATCTAATAAAATCTTTACATATTAATGGAAGAAACATCCTCTACTAAGAGATGAAGAGATAGTTGTGTTTTCTCTCTCTTTTAGATAAATAAGATGATTGCTTATTTTGAAACATCCATTGATCAAGAGTACCAATAATAATGAATTTCCACTGTTTCTATTTTAAAACATATATTCTGGCATAGATCAGTGTTTAAAAAACAGACCTGGAGACTGAGCCGTTTTTGCCTCCAGGTTACATGTCAGCAGTTCAAACGTCCAGGTAGGACAGGTCAGACTGTGCCACACACGCATATAAAGTAAATGGAATATAATTACATTCTACATGTAACACACAAACACATGTATGTATGTACATATGTATTTATGCCTAATCTATTATTTTTCTGCTTTTAATTTCTTTTCTTTATAGTAAAAGGGAAAACTTAGGATTTAAGGCCAAAAAAAGGAGTTTTTTGGCAAAAATAACAGGGCAAGGCACCTTGGAATACATAAATCTTGAAAAGTTACCCAAAATTTAAAAAAAAAAAAGAAAATATCACCCCAATCAAACAACCAAGCACCAAACTATGGCCTCCAGAAGTTTTGATATACATGTAACTTGTAAGTCGTGACCCAGTGATTGGGTCAAGCTGGTTAACAATCCAACCATGTCAGTCAGACAGGTTTTTGACCAAGTCAACAGCTTTTTTTCAAATTTCAGGTTTTAGAAAACTGGACCTGGAAATTGGGCCAGGTGGCCATTTGAACAGTTCTACCTTGGTTTAACAGTGAGGAGAAAACATTGATATAGATAGTAAACACTCCAAATCCACACAATGAAGGTACATAAGATGAACACATTTATGGAATACAGCTTGATGCATCCAATTCTACTCTAGGAAACGTTAAAGATAATTAATTACACTGATCTTATCCTATACAAAATACATCTCAAGAAGATATTTTACCTGGATGTAACTAGCTCCAAATAAAGCACCATTCCCCAGTTGAAATTGAGTCCTGAAGTCCTTACCCTGTATAAAATTTGAGGAAATATTTGCATTACAGAAGGTGGAACAGCACCAGCAATAAAAAGTACCATTTCATATCAAAAAGCCATTAGTGTAAACATCATTATATCAAATTTAAAGCATCTTCTTCATCCATCTATTTACATCTAAATCTAATAAATGAAATTTCAATGGCAACAAGGCATTCAGTAAGATTGATGGGAATAACGAGCACCGTTCAAACAATTGTTAGAAAGAACAAGATATGACATAGAAGCAGGACAACCCTTAAATCATGATAAAATAACAAATGTTAGGAAGATAGGCTTCAGGGGATGTAGGCTTCTAGAAACTAAATATTATAAGGTGTGGTGACCTTGTGCTAAAATTAAAAGAGATTAGGCCCATATTCAATTTACCCCTCCCGACTCCCAACACCCCAGATTGCTGGGACCAGCATCAAATAATGGCATTTTCTTAGGTGTGGTTTAAACTACTGATCTTAGTTAACTTATAGAACTGTATACCAACTCATGCAGTTCATACGAAGCTGCATTTCAAGTAAAAAAGCTAATTTACTGACCAGAAAAAAGGAGATGAGCCTACTCCCAACAAAAATATGATCTTTAGTTATGAATCTGTAGGTCTGGTTGAAGAGTTATTACAGACTAACAACTACAAAAAAAACAAAAATGTATATCCTCGAATACTCTAAGATTTAAAACATGCTAAGTATAGCAAAAGAATGGGAGTGAACAAGTAAGGGTGCTTGACCTTGTAATCAAAATTGACCATACCATGTGACATATGGGGCTCATTTGTAAGCTGTACAAAACAGATGGAAGATATTAAGTTAGCACTAGATAGCCACATAATATGGCATCCAAATATTAAAATTAAAGCTTAAAAGCAAAAAAAGTTAAACACCTGAGCATTCGCCTTTAATGAAAGATTGTCAGTCAAATCACATTTCATTCTTGCATTAAGCCTCCCATCTGTTAATATCCTCCCAAAAAGCATCAACTGTGGAACACCAATTGACTCTTCAAAGATTAAATTGAAGATCCACATAAAATACGCTTCCTATGAAGGATTAATAATTGAAAAAGGCAGTTAATAAAATAAAGATGATTATAGATACATACCTTTGGGTCCAAAAAATTAGCCCCAAATTCATAATGTGCAGTAGGGATTTTGATGGTTTCAGTGGCTTGTGAAGGAACCTCCATGGGCCCCATGAACACACTGATTGATGATAAAGAAGCAAAGAGTTTTTCACAAAGAAAATCATATGCATAATATCCTTAGTCAGAGGTCCGCTGCATCCTCACAATAAGTAATGGGCAAAAGGTAACTACAAGATAGTAAGGAATGTATACCTGTGACTGAGTGAGAATTTCTGGTTGAGTCCCTTAGTGAAATCAAAACGCATTCCCTCAAAAAGTTCTGGCTTTAGCGACACTGTCAAACACATTAAAAAACTAAAACCACTACTCATGAAGTATTAATTTGAAAAGGAAATTGCCACAGAATGTCACTTAAAGATTTCATTAGATTCATCCCTTATCCTAAGAAAAAACTAAACAAGACGATGTAGCAGCATGCACATGAAAAATACTTTTGGCCTCATTCTCGTCTTGAAGGAAATTTGTGAGAGAACTGGCAAAAACTGAATGTGGAGTCTACTGAGTTTCCATTATTTTGATATTACTATTTATAGTAAGATAGTAATTTTCAAAATAACCATTCATAGTAAATTTTAATAATACTATTTCAGTAAGCTCATGGTTTACTATTTTTAGTAATTTCAGATGTCTTTAAATTAAAGTAGTTTTAATGAGATTAGAAAATTTTTATTAGAGTTGTTTTAGTAATTAGAGTCCTCATTGGAGTGTATTTATGGGTGTATTGATTTGTCTTCTAAAACAGTTAGAAGTTGTTTTGGATCGGTTTCCTAGTCCAAATTGGAGTCTGTAAAGGCCTAAAGGGTCATCCGAGTTCATGTATCGAGTCTATTAAAAGAGTCATTGTAATTGTGGAAAAAAAAAACAGAATATTTTGATGAAATAAAGTTTGGTTTAGTGAATTCCCATTGTTGCGGGAAATTTCTCTTTTCCCCTCTCTGTCACCTGCTTCTTCTTCTAAGTGACCTATCTCATTGCTGTTTACCCTAACATACACATTCTACTTGCTTCTCCATTCATATTCTTCATCTCCAATCACCCACAGCCCTCATTCAACCCACAAGCCCACAACCCAGATCCTAAGTAGGTAGGACCCCCTACCCATCCTACATCAAAAGAACATCTATATTCTATAGCTCTCAGGGAAAATGCAACTAAATAACTAAAATATAAAAAGGACAGGAACCCTACCCACTTCTGCCATGTGGAGGAATCTCTGGATGATCCTAACTGTCCACCAAAGAATGGACTTGCCCCTATAAGGCTATGCCCGACCTTATATTGGAGTTTTAACTAATCAATGTTTTCTTCAAGATAAATAAAGAAGAAAATTTTTATTAAAACTAATGAAGAAGAATACAACATCAGGTGATAACAAATAACCCCAAGAAAGAAAAACAGAAACGCCCACAAAAGAACCACCAGGTCCACCACCCGACACAGACTTTCCCCACCCCATACAACCAGAAGACAAAACAAAAAACCCAAAAACGAACCCATATAACTTCCAAACTCAACAAATAAGAAGACCCTAACCCATCGAGATGACCAAACTAGAACCCAACCCAACCCCTCTTCACCCTACCTTTAATCAACGAGCTTCACCCTTCAGCTGCAACCACCCTGATCTTATCCAAAAAGAGTTTTCCTAGCAAAATCTTCACCACCCAAATAGCAAATACCCAATATTTTGCTGACCCAGACATCTGCTTGTACCACATCTCCCAGCACTAACTTTTCTTAACTGGTTCTAGTTTGATCAAGGATTTTCCCATCATTACTTTCTTGCCCCTCCAAACCCTCCTCCATGTCCATCTCCCTGCTTACACAATTTAATGTCAAATCCTCTTGAAGTCCTTCAACATGCCCCGCATCCCCCACCAATGAAGAGTCTTGATCCCCAGAGTGTTGATCAGCTTTAACTTTCACCATTCTCCTCTTATATATTCCTTTATATCTATTACTAGGCTCTGCCCCAAAAAGTCCATTCTTCAACCTGGAAAACACCTTAGTCACATGAACCAGCTGCCCTGAATTTAAATCTTTAGATATTGTTTTCTTTCTAACTACAACCACCAGCTTCCTTCCATCCTCACTAGTTTCAGATCTTCTTCTACCCAAATCTCTTCCCAGTTTCCCTATAACAATTTCCACAAAATTTCCTGCATCAACAAGGTTCTCACCCTCCAGGTGCAACGAGTTAAAAGCAGCATTTTACCCAATCAATTTTAGCCCTCCAATATTTTTAACCTTTTAATATAAAACTTACCCAAAGAGTCTATTTCAACACATGGCAGGGTTTTCAGGGCTAAACTCTTTTCCATTAACAAAAGTAGAGAGAGAATAATGGAAATTCCTTTTTGAGCTCCAAACTAAGTTTTCCTAGGTTGTTTATCAAGAAAAATGATAATAAAAGAGGACAATCTGTAAAATGTTTTTTAACATTCCTCTTTTTCTTATTGAACTCAATATTGACCAGCTTGGCCACATAAGTTATTTGATCTTAAGGCTCTGTTTGGGAAGAGTGCAAACACCGGTTCAGTGCAAATATGCACTCTGGTTCAATTTTGTAAGTGTTTGGGAAGAATGCATTTGTGTATTGAAAATGACAGCAAACACAAATTCCAAGATATGTTTGCACTCAAAATGAGAGCAAAGTTTGAATCCAAAAAATGGATGCAAACGTTGCACACAAAGTTGGTCAATGTAAAAAAAGAAAAAAAAGGATTCCAAAATCAGGATTCGTGTTTGTGCCTATTACAACTACAAATCATCTCGCAAGAGCACAAATTATCATTCTAAAACTAAACCAACTTTGCATTTTCATCAACCAGACATATTTGCATTTGTACTGGTCATTTTTGTATTTGTATTGTCAAATGGAGCCTAAGAATCTTTCACATGGCAGCATAATTGGTCGTCCAAAAGGCTCCATGTTTGACCTTCAGGCTCAGCTATTCAGGGGCAAGTTTCAGCCCAAGAAACCCTAGCCACATGGTAAACTAACCCTTTTCTGGTCTTCCCCAAAACTAAAAAGAAAAAAAAAAGAAATGAAGTTTTTAATCGCTAAAATAATTTGCAAAAAGGTATAATTGATATTGCAGTATCAATAGGACCAACTCAGTTTGGCTTAGTGAACACATGACCAATGCAGAGGTCCACTCTCTGCTAAACATATTGGAATGGTAATGTGTTCTCCCCAATGTGGCCAAAATATGATCGTTTTTGTAAACAAATTCTCCTAAATAAACTCTTCAGTTCATGCTAAATACTTCTGCTCCCCACTAACACCCAAAACAAGGGGATACTAATAGGAAATGTTTCATGATTTGATTGTTGTTTGCAATTTATAGGTCTCATCAGAAACCATCATCTAAATTGTCTATGTGTACACATGGCATAAGCTTTTGTTTATGCGTCTATGTTTACGTACACCAGCATGTGTATATGACTATATGTTCACCAAAAAAAAGTATTTGCATATGCATATGTTAGCACACATTAAGTAGATTAAATCAAGCAAAAAGCATAAAGCTTACGTTAAGTTTCACAAATTAAGTTTTCTCATGTGATATTCCAGAGAGTTCTCACTAAATTAGTACATACCAAAAAACAAAAACAAAAAAAAACAATGAATGACGGAATATGTTTAGGAGATGGCGTTAATTTCCGATGTGAGCAGTATTTGCTTCTGTACCTTTAAATGGGGATCTGCAATCTACAGCTGACCCTAAAACTAATTTGCAAAACATCATAATTAAGTTCACAAGACACCTTCCGAAATCTCATACGCAAAATATGAGCAGGTACAAGAAAAAAAAACAGCATAAACCAAAACTCCATTGACAGTAAGCTATGAATTCATAATTCCATTATTTCATCCTGGACCTGGAGTAATGGATTCATGCTTTCCATCATTTCACCTATTCACCGTCCATTTCATCTCAAATCAAGCTAAATTGAAACAAAGATGATTGAAATAAATAAATGTCATAAACAAAGATGATTGAAATAAATAAATAAATGCAGATAATGCCATAATCACCAGATAGAAAAGCATTCAGAGATCAAATAGATTATTTAAAGGGGGGAAATGAACTAGAACCTACGAAACCATTAAAAAAAGGGCAGTGAAAAACCATTAAAAAAATAGAATACTGACTCAGAGCTTCTCGATGGATTTCTTCGTACGGTATGGGGCAAGGAAGATTCAGGTAATCAATTTTCTCCGCAGCCTTGGGCTCATTGTCCTTATAGGGTGCAGGAGTAGGAGGAACAAGACCTACGTGGGAAGCCATAATTCACTTCTAAAATCAGAGAAAACAGTGAAGAACAATATGAACACGAAGCGCGTCGATGTAGAAGGTTTCTTCTACTGGAAACTCCACCGGAGCAAATTTAGGGCAACAGAGCAGATGCAGAGGGTTTGCTGAGCTGAATAGGTGCGCACATTAAGAGGAACGAGGGCGTAGGTTAAGGCAAAACTCTCCTCGCCGGGGTTTGCCGTGGCCGCAAACAGATACTGATCGAAGAGAAGACGGGAAGAATGATGCTCTGGGCTCCGAGGAGGCTGCGGCTTCGGAGTGTGGGTTTTTGGCAGGGTTTACTCGTCGCAGTAGATGTATAATCGTAATGTATCAACTTGAATAGGTTTGGACTTTGGACTTTGGACTTTGGATCGGTTTGAAGTATAACCTGAGAGCGCGGTATCCAGCGAAGTAAAATATCTCTCATGACTCATATTCTCGATGTGCGGCTGGATGCCGTGCTCCCAGGGGTATCCCGATCTCGTATTCAAATCCGGTTCGATTTAGGTGACCCGTATCCGATCCCTTTCTTTGTAAATGGATCGAAAGAGATCGGGCCCGAGCCCATAATATCCAATAGTAAAGTTGGTTTGGATAATATTGTATGCTTAGCGAATTTTATAGATGATATCATATATGATATTCTGATTACTTTGAATTTAATTTTAATACATACATATAGTATAGGATAAGATCCTGGTATGCTAAGGGAGGTATGATTTGTCCCGTCGGTCCAATAGACTCGATTCACCAAATAGTGGTAAACATCTATGCCGCACCAAGGTCAACCAAATATTTTGTGCTTGGGATGGCCTTGGGCCTAAACCGAGCCCAATTTGTTGCCAAGAAAAGAACTACACAATTATGTAAAGTGGGCCTCGGGCTGGAATAAGCATACTTACATAGATAGAACTGAAAAAATACCCATTAATTTTTTGCTTTCTTTTTTATTTATCTCAAATAAAGATTCATTACTAGAATTACGATTGGGAAGTGGTATAAAAGCCCATTACATGCCAAGTGATGGGCTGGGCCATTATGAATTCGACTACTAAAGGCAAAAGAAATCAAGGTGATGTTTGGTATCGATGCTATTTTTTAAGAAAACAGCATTATAAAGTGTGGTCTGAAGCAACACCAAATTCAATGCTTTATGAGAAAACAGTGCATTGCTGCCTGTGGCATCAACGTGGCATCGTCTTGAATGTTAGATATTTATATAATATAGATCAATATTGAAAATGTTGTTATCAGTATCAAACAAAACCAATGCTGTTTTCCCAAAAAATGACTATATGGCAACACTGTTTCTGAACAAAATGGTACAATGTTTCAAGCACCGATGCCAAATACCTACCAAAACTGCTTATTCCTGGAAAAGCAAAGCTACCAGCATGTTAAAGCTAGATAAGCTAATTTAAAGTTCTACGCCATCCTTCCCATATCTAGGGGTGAGCATTCAGTTTTTTTAGGTTCAAAACCGAATTAGCTAAATGACAAACCAAACCAAAATCGAATATACTGAACCAAATTTTTTCGGTTATTTTGGTTCTAACCAAAATATTTTTATATTATTATTTAACTTTCAATAAATTTATTGAGTGGATCAGTTAATTTGAAGTTGTGACTTGTTGGGATGACCATTGAGGAAAAATATCAATTTCCAAACTGAATCTACACTCCACATAACAGAATAGCTGTATTCATCAGATAGATTACAAATATATATATTACAAGTATATATTAATGGAAAAAAGAATGATTAGAGAATTTCAGAATGCCTTCAACCTTTGGTAGTGTCACTTTCAGAATGCTGGGACTTTGGACCTTTAAAGAAGATGAAGAAGAAGTTAATAAATACCTGTTGGCTGTTGTAAGCCTGTAAATTGGCAGTGAAGACTGAAGAAGAAGAACCGAATAACTCTGCTTGAGTGCAGAGTTCATGCCTGAATTGCGGTAGTCGAAAGTCGGATGGTGGTGAAGACTGAAGAAGAAGAAGAACTGAAGAACTTTGCGTCTTTGCCTGAGTGCAGAGTGCCTGCCTAAACTGCGGCAGACGAAGAACTTTGCTTGGGAGGATTCTCGATCTCTGCCTCTCTGCCTCTCTGGAGTGATGGAGTCTGGTCTACTCTTGGCTCTTGCTTTGGAGTCGACTGGAACAGATGATGAGGAATATGAAGTGTCGAACTGGAAACTGGAGTGGAAAGTATGGGCTCTGGAATGGAACTATGGAAGTCTCAACTCTCAAGTCTGTATTCTGGAACTAGAAGCGCCACAGTGAGGAAGACGAAGAGACGAAGAGTCTCTCTCTTTCTATTTTCGATTTTCTTGTTGTCTTGGACTTTACATGATAACGTGAACGTGTCTAATACACTAATGTGTGCGGAATTGCCTATTTTTTTGCAAATTCAGTTAATGGTTGGTCTTATCTTATGGATTTCGATCTTTAATTCCATATATAAGTATATGTATTAATTAATTAAATATTAATTCATTTTTTTTCCGTAATTGGGAAATATGGTAACCGAAACAAAAAACTGAATAGAATAACCGAATCGGACTGAAAAACCAAATAGGCCAAACCGATTAAACCGAAACCGAAATTTCGATTTATTTTTTCGATTTTAACCAAATTATGCTCACCCCTATCCATATCCGTCCAGCTCTGCAACCGTTCTCAAACTGAAATTCTCGTTAGAGCATCTGATGAGAAGGTAACCTAATAGCCAAACCAAACTGACTGAACTAAGATGAAGTCGCGAGCAGGACATGTCTTAGAGTTTCAATTCCCCTAGGGACAAATCACAATCACTCGATTGAAGAATTTTCTTTGATATCTCCACAAAAAATTGTTTCACCTTCTAAGGATATTTTAGGTTCCATACCGGTCCCCGGTCAGACGTCTCCCTTTCAGCACTCGAAGATGATGAAGGACTATTCTAATCGTCTGGTTGAACTGCAAAGTGGTATGTCAATCGAACTCAGAATTTGCCCTCCTCATGTAGTGGAGGTGGAGCCCATATATAGGGAATTGGAATTGAGAAGTTCCCCTCTCTTTTTTATTGTTTTCACTTTCCAATGGGTCGAGTTCAAGGAGGGTTTTGTAAATTCCACACCCTCCTCACCTCTCCAAACATTGCAATTGATACTCTCCCCAAAACTCATAGTGAATTGGATCTTCAGAATCCAAACTCTCCCATAAACCACATCTAAATTTTTGTCATTTAAACAATTAACAAGTAAAATAGCATGCACAAACATCAATCCAATCATTTGATTGAAACGTGCACAAAATACATAAATTATCAAATATCCTTCATAACATAAGTGTATATGCTTGCAGCATAAAAAAAAAAGTATATATGCCTTGCAATAATAAAGTCAACATGCAATACACAATGCTTAAACCATGATCCAATTTCGACCAATTACTTAATTCTTATATATAATATATAAAATATTTAAATATTTTATATAATTTATATATATAATAATTAAATTATATAAATAATTTACATATTTATATGCTTTATATAAATAAAATATTTATTAATTATCTAAAATAATTAATTGGTCAAATTCAAATAAATCAAATGTTTGAATATTTAATCGAATTCAAATATTAATTTTCAATATTCATTGGATATCGAAACAAATTCAGATACCGGATTTTCTAATCGGATTCGAATTCAGATATTGCTTGGTTTGATTCGAATTCAATCCGTTTACACCCCTACTTCAAACAAAGTATTTGAAATATCACAACTTCTACGAGTTGAAGACAAAACAAAACAGTTTGACAATGCAAAAGGTTTTGTTAACCCCTCTTATTATTATTGTTCGTGAACACTCAACAGGATAGGTTGGAATTAGTTAAAGCTATCCTCTCTATTTGACCAAGTTTTGTATTGGACCCTTACCCCATCTAACGAGAAGTTTTCTACGACAAAGTTTGTGAATCGTGAGTACTTATTCATAAAAATTAAAATTTTGAGCTTATAAAACAACTAATTCCACCCATGGTTCCAAGTATCAATACGCCTCTACGTAGTATTAGTACTTTCCCATGCGAAAATATGTTTTTTATTTTTATTTTTTTTCAAAATTTGGTTTTTGGGTAGTTTAATATCCATATTTTTCATTAGAAAATAGTGGGGTCATATGATATAATACGCTCGATACGAAGCGTATCGTATTGATTTTTTGAACCTTGGTCCCACCTATGTTTCTCCTATTCCTTTAAGGATTGGTCATATCTATCCCCTTTGACCTGATGGTGTTCAACCCGAGGTGTTTCGAACCAATGATACAATCATATAATCCTGCTAACTAGACGAGGCCGAGGTGGAAGGACAAAGTCGCGCACTAAGATTTACAATCAGGAGAAAGGTCAAAGGCTCGAGGAATTGTTCCCCGTGTAGGTGCTTTGACATTCAAGCCAGTTTGATAGAGAAAGAGGTGGTTAGGCCGAGTAGGCTGAAATAATGCTAGTCTGAGCCGAAGAGGTAGTGCAAAGAGGTATTCAAAGAGTGTTCTTCCAAAAAGGGGGGCCCTTACCTCAAGCCCTATTTATAACGTGGTGTCTGTATCCTAGAAGGATAGGGATTATGAAGTTTTTGGGATGAGGTAATCCGTCAAGGTTTTTGGGAGGTATCCTCTTCCTCGACAGAGTCTGCTTACTTGCTCGTGTAGGACACTCCTTCTTAGTCATGCTCTTCCACCACACGTGGTGTAGACATGGCTAGAGAGAGATGACGGTAGTGGAAATTGCCACGTGACATCCTTGGCCAACTCAACCATCACCCAAACATCTTTGTGAGACAACAACTGAAACTAATAATCATTTGTTCATTTGACTCAGTTTGGAAGGAGTACACATGCAAATACATAGGATACATTTGGAAACGATGCAAATGGAGTGTAAATCTCGATTCGGGGTAAATTTGCACTCTGGTTCACTTTTGCTTATGTTTGGCAACATTGCATTTATGCATTGACAAATGACAAAAAAAAACACATTTTTCAATGCATATTTACATCGATAATGAGATGTACAAATACATCAATAAAAAATAAATAAATTTGCATTCAAGTGGGCTTTTGGAATTAGTGTTTGCATCCATTACAGTTAAAAGTATGTTTGACAAAAAGGTAAAATTGTTAGTGCAAAACTAACCCAACTTTGTAATTTATATGAACAGTTTCGCACGCTATATATTTTCATTCACACTTATTTGCATCATTTTCAAATGCAGCTATACAAAATATAAGGTTTTGCACTTTACATATTTGTATTTGTAGTCACTCAGAACTGAGCCCTTAGTTAGTCTTCTTTGGATCCAAACTTGCTATTCTTAATAATTCACTTAAATTTAGAGTGTGGTCAGCTCCATCTCTCAGGTGGTGGAAATTAATGTTGATGGGCCATTAATGGCTTGCTCTATGTTGTGGGTGTTGGTATTTGCAATATTGGTGGCAGGAAATGCTAAACAGATAGTTTGTTGCTCTCCAGTTGATGAGGAAGCCTTAGCCTTCCTTGAAGAAGGCCTCTTGCGAACTCATTCACTCAATTTGCAATATGTGATAGTACTCGATCGAAGGAGGCTCGAGCGTTGTTGCTTAACCCATGTTGGGGTCTTACACTCTTACCCTTTTAAAATTTCATTCCTTCACATATTAGAATGCATTTGGACAATTGCAAGGTACTTCTCCCTCTCTTGCTATGAGATCAAGCATATTTACAGGGATGACGCAAACTCGGAAGTCCATCACTTTAATTTGCTCGTAATGCTCTTTCTGCATCTGAGTTTGTCAATTTCTTTATCCTTCCTCCTCAATTAACTGTATTTTTGCTATCGTTGAAAGCATGCAGCTGTGCCATAACCCTATAATTTTAGATCCTAGTCAAATGGATTTGCCTTCGGGCTTTCTAGACTCTATTTGTTAATTTGTATCGTACGTACAATCTCATTTGCACTGATACTAATGCATGATATAATGCAAATAAGATGAATACATGTTCTTTTGCACTATTTCAGGTTATGTTTAATCACTTTATCTGCATTACAAACAAATAAAATAAAATAAAATTTGAAACAAAAATAAATTAGTCTTTGCAATCAAATCGCATCCCATTAAAAAAAAGGTCTCCAAATGGGAAAATATCCAAATAGTACTAGAGGTAAGATCTATTTGAGCCAAGTTTTTGGTAAAATATCCAAATAGTACTGATATATTTTGGTGAAATAATCCTATATTTTTTTTTTGACAAAATGGTATATAAAATCTTGTGTTTTTTAATTTCACTTAATTGCATTTCACGTTGAACTCAAAGTGAATATATAATATCAACAAGTTTTGCTTTCATTTTTTAAGCCAAGTTTATGCATACATATATATATATATATATATATATTTCAATTTGCAATACCAACAGACCGGATTGACCGAAATTTACCTCAACCCGATTAAGGCTGACCCAACCTACCCAACCTAGGGTTGGGTCAGTGTGGCTTTACCCCTTTACCACTTAACCTGATCCATTGCCAGATAAATCCAAAGGCACTAATATGGAGTATGTAAAAAAATTATGTTTTCATTTCTGCATGGTAATGCTCACTTTTCCTTTAAACTAAACACAGCCTAATTGTGACAACCAAAGATTTTATTAGTGAAATGGTTTTAATGAATTAAAAATAGAGACCAAAAGATAGAGAGAGAGAGATTTCAAATGTGCATAACATGGTTTAGAGAGCACCATGTGTGTTATTGGGATAGCCACGCTTTCACTTAAGACTGTTTGGTTTGAAGGAAAAAGTAGGAAAAGGAAGGGAAAAATAGAAAAATTTTTATAAAACTTTTATAGGTTTCCTTTGCTTTCTCTACTTTTTCCCCCAAACCAAACATAAAGAAATGCTAAGACGTTCCGCCGAATACCCCACAAATCTAAATTCTTTAATTCTTGTTCATCAATCTGCCTTGGGAGAGCCTGGACTAAGCAGCGCCCATTGCCACAAAACAACTAATCGCCCATTACCACAAATTGAATCAAGTCTGCCATTTTCTTGCAACTCTTATGGGCCCTTTAATTCTGCTAAGATATATAAACTTTGTCTGGTTAGAAAGGTACCGTAAGCAATGAGAAGTCATCGTCTCAGATGAAATTTGACCATATTCATTCTAAACTTGAGCTTTTCCTCCTTTTACTTACAAGTCAGCACCAACTTTCCTATGAGTAGTATTGTCAATGGGTCAGGTCTGGTCCAGCCCAATAAGGGGGTATTTGATACAATGGTGTTGCCTTGTCATTGCCTCTTTGGATTGATTAGTATAAATGTTAGATTTTATTTCTATTTAAAATATTTTAAACTGATTAATATAAATTGTTAATTCTACCTAAAACGTCAAATTGTTGTTTTTATGGTAAATGTGCAAACCAGTTCAAAACCGGACATTACTATCGATATGACCCGATTATAATAGATATACTTATGTATTAAATTCAGACATTTGCAGATTATGAGTTGGGATCTGTGAAAATGAAGAAACCACTCCAGAACAATACTCCCAAATGGGTACCAAAGAAGCTGTTTGGATAATATACTAGAATTTGAATTATCCTTTGCAGAAATTCTAACAATAATTCCGATGTTTGGTTCTAGATTATATAGAATTCTAAAACTCGTTTACAACCTGCACAAGTTCTGGCAAAATCATCAGAATTACAAAGATCCAAATCATATGAAATTTTAAAACGTTAGATTTCAAAATGAACATAATTACCGGATATAAAGAGATTCCACTATACAATTCAAAACGCCCCCAAAATTTCAAAGCAATCAAGAGGTGTTTGGTACAGTGGTATTGTGTTAACCTTGTGTTTTAGGTTGATCAATACAAATTTGTGTAAAAAAATTTTTTTCTGAAATATTTTGAGTTGGTCAATATAAATTATTATTTCTATCTAAAACCTCAAATTTACTATTTTTCACGTATATGTAATTTTCTAATTAAAATGACACTCATATGTGATGTGCCGCCAATATATATTCTCATAAATTTATATTGATCAAGTGAAAACACAATAACAATGTAACACCATATATTGGACCAAAAATCCCCTAAAAAAGTTGTGGGTTGTAGGATTGGGTATCAATACCCAATAGTTATGACTTATGAGAGGCTTATCAAGCCTACAGTTGTGGGTTGTAGAACTTTGTTCACATTTACTCAAAACACACTATCCGTAGGAAAGGCAATTTTTCCCATTCTCGATGGGGATTCGACTTCCTTGATCCGATGGGGTTGGGGATGGGGATTATTTTGACGGGGTGGGGACGGGGATGGGGATGAGGATTAATAAGAATCCCTGATTGGGGTTAAGGTCGGGGATGGGGATTGAGGTCCCCGCCTTGCCCTGCCCCCGATTATGTATATATATATATATATATATATATCTATATTATATTATTTATAATATATTACTATATTATTTATATTATATATATGTATCAAAACATATTTAAAAAATTATTTATAATTTATTTTTTTTATTTATTTTAAGTAAATTTATTTTTCAAATAAATACTGTTATCTAAAAAAAATTTGGGGATTCGGGTCCCCTGGACCCATCCCTGTCAAGGATCGGGGATGGAGGACAAATTTATCCCCGGTGGGGGATTGAGGACAGGGACAGGGGTTAATTTCATAGTCGGGGTTGGGAACGGGGAATATGATCCCCGCCCCATTGCCATTCCTATATAAGAGGATGAATGTTCTCCATGTGTGACTGCGATGTTATGTGGGTAGTGAACAGGAGATCCGGACTCCACGTGGTGAGGCCACCCGGCTACGTGGGCCCTTTCATGTGGCCAGCGTTTAAAAAAAAAAAAAGCTGGTACACTTTTTCCAGTTGTGGGTAGGCCAGGCAGGCCTGATCCTTAGATTTGGAGCACAGAAAATGGGTCAATCTTTTTGGTGCTCACAACCCTGTCTCTTGAGTCTTGATTGGCTGATTGGCTCAGCCGATTAGGTCCGGCTTGTCAGGCTCGTACATACCACATGTATTCGATGTTGTAGAATGAATATAGAATTGATGTAGGCCGAGGCCCAAACAAAAAAACAAACATTAGAACTGAGTTTTATAATTATCTCAATTACTTGTCTGTGTATCAGATCTGAGTTGGAGTTGGACTCAGAAAGAGCAAATGATTTCAGTGGTGAAATTGGCTAAAGGTTGTGCAGGAAACCGGATCTCCTATACACTTGATGCTGAGGTTGGTCTGGTCTGGTTGGATATACCGTGGTTCAATTCACAGTTCCACACGTTCTGATCCTGTAAAATATCTATGTAACCATCAATACAGTCTATAACTGCGTCTGCATGGCTTATTTTTTATGTTTGTGCACGTGCGTTTGTCTATTAGCGGGTGGGGTATGGGTTGATGATGGCCCATAGTGTTGTATAAAAGATAGAGAGTTGATGACATTGATGGCCAAGATTGAGTTACAGCGTTTGGCAAGTCTTTTTATATATAGAATATCAGATTTTTGAAAATTGATTTTTTTTTTTTTATACAATCCAAAATCCTTCGTCAAAGATAAGTATGTAGAATTCACCCAATTTAATATTAATCGAACTGTCACATTCCATCCAGTTGATGTTGTATACAAAGACATGGATGATATTATAGGCATGAAATACTTTATAGACTCTATTATCTCCAACGTTGAGGACAGGGAGTGATGGGCAGTGAAAGAATAAAGTGACATGTCTCTTTCAATGCCACGAATTAAAACTCCACTGATGGATCTAAAGCAACAACCCTACACTTATTAAACAAATTATCTTCTTTTGTATAAATAAAATTAGGGGATGGATTGGGTTAAAGCGAGTTTGGCAGATTAGATGAATTGAATCAACTCAATCCAAAACCAAATCCAATCCAATCCGCCCAATTGCCACACCTACGAGCCAGTCCCAGTTTGTGTACTAGAGAATACTGAGCCCATCGAGAATCCAAGGAGACAAAGAGAAAAACTCACGGCTTCTACCACCCACCCACGACACAAATATTTTTGTTATTGACAGAATAAGAAGCGATAAGAACTTGTTCCCCCTCAGCTCCCGGGTCTCTGCTAAAAGAAAAGCTAAAAGAAAAAAGCAAGTGGGTCTCCCCAAAAGTTCAAAAATTCCTTCATATCCCTCCTTGTATATCTATATATGCTTCCTTTCTCTCCATTTCCATTTCCATACAACACCCTAGCTAGCTAGCCCGCAGCAATCATGTCTGTCACCGGGTTCTCGTACCCAGCAGAAAGGGTCTACAGGCGAGTTCACCGGAGAAATGATTCCAGTGAACTTGATATATTCGAAGCGAAGCAGTATTTCTCTGGCTGCAATGAGGTCCTCGGGCTCTATGGTGCAGCTCTTTCTCACAAGGCCATGAGAGAAGAAAGGCAGGAGTGGGGCATGCCCATGCGGCATACGCTTCAGTCTCAGTCTCGTCAGATCGAAAGCCAAATCATCAACGAAAATAAACAGAAGAAACCCAGGTCTCCATGTGGTAGACTTGTCAATTTTCTCAGCTATCTATTCCACCAAGCAGTTTCCAGGAAGAAGAAATCAAAGTCCAGTACACAGTCAGAGAAAGATGAAGAAGAGAGCTCAGGTGGAAGGAGAAAAAGGAGGAGCAGAAGCATGAGTAGTCATTTTCGAAGCACCAGCACCACCACCGATTCAAAGTCGATGCGGTCATCTTCAAGCTCATCTGGTTATAGAACACCTCCTTATGCAAACAGTACTACTTCTACAAACATGTACAAGGATCTCATTAGTTACTCTGATCACAAACAAGTGGTGCCTTTGCCGTCGGAAAACAATGAGAAGGTAAGCTCGATTAGCTTAAAACGAGAGGGTTTGAATAAGAAAAGAAGTATGGATTTGACTTGGTTGGATGAAAAACTACTCAAGTTCAACTGTGGACTTGAAGAGAAAACCAACAACTTGAATCATGGGTTTTTAGAGAAAGATAGGACTTGGGTTGAGGATTACTCAGCAGAGAACAAGAGCTTTACAAGGTTCGATGATGTAGATGATGGTGGAGAGAGTGATTCAAGCTCTGATCTGTTTGAACTGCAGAATTTTGACATTGGTTTCTACTGAGACCGTCGAGAGAGGAGCACTAATCCTCAGTGTGGCACCCAACAATGCCATTTCTGTTTCTCTTTCGGTTGTGAATGCTACGCTGCTTTTGTTGTATACTTATCCTTTGCTTCTTTTGAATTCGGAGTCTTTAGCTGTAACCAAGTTACTAAACTAATTAATGATGATTGATAGTAGAGGAACAGCTGAACAGAGCACATCATCTTCAATTTTGTCATAGATATTCTAACATGGATATGACTCGATCGGTACTTCAAAAATAAAAACAAAAGGCCATTACAGCTACATGGGATTTTAGGGAGGGGGTGAATTGGACAGATTCCTAATTTGAGAAAACTTTGGCTGAAAACGTTTTTGGGCATGACATGTTATCATATATATTATTATATGTGTGTATAAATACATCTTATCACTAAATAATGTATAATTATATTCTTTATATGCATTATTTTATATTTAATTTTTTATTTGTAAAAGGAATTAAAAAATGTGATTTAAGAGTAAAAAAAAGGTGTTTTCTGTGTAATAGTGGGACAAGGCACTTACGACCTTTGGGATGTAGAGATCTTGAAAAGTCACCCAAAATAAAATAAAATAAAAGGTCACCCCAATAGGACATCAGAGCGTAAAGCTATAGCCTCTAAAAGTTTGCATACATATATAGTGTGTAATCCATGACCCGATCATTGGGTTGAACGAATCATTGGTCCAACCAATTAGGTCAAATAATTTTTGAACTGTTAAATGATTTTGACCAATTTTCAAGTTTTAATAGAATTGGACCCAGAATTATAACTGGATGATGCTTCGAATGGTTCAACTAGACAAGTTGATGACATGTTGAAAATACTAATGTTACCATATGTGTGGGGTAAAAATGTAATTATTTCCCGTTTTCCAAAAAGATAAACAGGCACGTGAAAACATTTTCAACACCCTAAACTATTGGCCCCAAATAGCCAAAAATTTCTCCCTAACCTTTTGTAGTTTTTGAGAGCATGTTGGACAACCTATCGCGAGTGAACACACCAATCAACATTCCTTACGCATTATACATAAGGTGTGGTTCCACATGAGTCTAAGTGTACGGAACTATGGTGTGTTCATTCGTGATATATTGTTCAGCCGAGTGTGTATGATTTTTTCTCCAGCCATCAAAGTGATCATTCTCATCCTTGGCTTTAATAGCATTATATATTTTACCATTATACCATTAATAATGGGCCGAATTTGATATCAGTATGTCCTGCAGCAGTATGTAAAGTAATCATTCAATTTCTCAATTGCATTTGTGACTGGTCCAGAGCAAAATGATGATCCCACATCCCATGAAAATTGAAACGAGTTCAGCTAATCAGTACTCAAATGATTGATATAAGTATAAATTATAGGGAGAATGAGTTGTTCAAGTCATAATTTTCTAGCCTATACAGGGATGAATCTTAACCGTGAATTAATGTCAAATTTATGGGCAGAATTCTGCAACCCTAAATTATAAGACGCGTGGGAGATTGCAATTGTAAGGAATGGAGCAAAGGCAAGGTACAAGGGTACCTAACACTCTAGAATCTAGTACAATTTAAATCATCAGCCTAATCAGATGGTATTCAATAAAATTCACCTCGGGAGGTTGGATTCGGCTTGGTTTGTCAAAGCTATTTTTGTATTATACCTTCCTAACACCAGAAATTTTAAGAAAATTCCACTTTAACACCTTGAACTTTGGGGGTAGTGTCAAGTTAGTACCCAATTTTTCAAATGTGTCACTGTAATACTTAAACTTTCAAAAAGTGTCAAGTTGATCCCAGTCATTAACCAACCATCATTTATTTGTCGAAAAGGTCAGAACTACCATTCAAAAGAAGACATTGCTCACTATCTTCTACCTTGAGACTGAACCGGTTACATTCAAAGAAAAAGAGAGAAAAAACATGAAATATGATAGAGAAAAACAATAACTGAAAACAAACAAATAACTGGACAATAATGTGTTTCAGATCTAAAGGTAGAAGACAATGATTTCATTAGTCTAGAATCTCAAACACCCCAACCGGTTCAGTCTCAAGATAGAAGACAATGAACAGTTTCTTCTTTCGAAGGGTGGTTTTGACATTTTCAACAGATAACTAACGATCCATTAAGGGCAAAGACAAGCTTGACACTTTTTGAAAATTTAAGTACTGCTTTGACACATTTGAAATTTCAAGTACTAACTTGACACTACTTCCAAAATTCAAGGTACTAAAGTGAAATTTTCCCTAAGGCTCAGTTTGGAAGGAATACAAATACAAATATATATGGTGCAAATACATACACAATAATATAAAATACAATATTTTACACTCTATATATTTGTATTTGTACCCCTTCCAAACTGAGCCTAAATTTTATTCTATATCATTGTTTATAAAAACGCTCATGCCCTTTACATTTTGCTATTTGTAGTCATAAAGGCCCAACTGCTACTAAGCCAAATCAAGGTTCCAGTATTATTAGGTGTTTCAACCCCGAATAATACTAAGCCAGTGAACATTCCAGTTTCACGTCTAATAATCCTAGTTTTACAAGATTGTTTTGATTCATTCAACAGTGGATATTGGATAATGAAAGCCATATAGCTCTTTCATATGGCTCTCGCTCTCCATAAGCTCTTCATATAATAACGTGGCTTATCATGCCATACAGAGCTGAAAGCGAGAGCTTTTAGGGCTATCTTAGGATTCTTAGAACCAAATGGACAGCCAAGCTGGCAGAATTGACCATCTAATTGATGGCAACCTTCTCGGTCATCACCATGAACATGATAAATATCCATATCTACATCACATCACATCCCATAACATGGATACATATATTTGCACTTTTTTCTCCTAGTTCAAGGTATCCATCCCCATCCCCATCATGTCTATATACCACCCAAAAGATCTGCTGGTTATCCCCATCCACATCTAATACGTACCTATGTTCCATATCCATGACACCAAAAGCCTTGCATTTTTTTTTCCTAGTGCAGAGTATATGTCTATGTCATCCCCCATATAAAGCTCAAGACGTATCACATTTTTCTTCTACAAAAAGTATGCATCCTTTGAACAATTGAATTGAACCGTGCATAAAAAAACCAGCTGCCAAGAATTTACTTTTATTTCATATGTCCTACGGGGCTAAAAGGCATAGTTGATAGTTGTCATGTAGACTAGAACTAGAAGTCTAGAATGAGATTGATATGGAAAAAAAAAAATGTGCCCCCACTTCCTGATGACGACTCAACCAGATGGTCGGACCGTGAAAATTGGGAATCAGTGGCTTTTTCAGGTTTCATTTAAATGATGGTTTTCATGGATTAATCACCCAGTTACTACCCATGGAGCATTTTTTTAGGCTAAATTTGAGAGTGCTTAAAGATAAACTTCTTCAAATAAATACGTATATTTTGGGCCAGGACCATACCAATAAACACTAATTTGTATTTGGGAAATAAACCTTAATAAGCACTTATATGAAAAATTCAAATTTTGGGTTTATTTTTCTTTTTGGCCTATCTTAACCCATCACATTCCCAAATTTAACCTTAACCATTACAACATTGGCTAATATAGAGAGTAGCTAGAGATTAGCGAGTCAAGAGCTTTTGAGGTCGAAGACAATATTGACAAGTACGTGGATAGATGAGAGAAGCATTTGTGGTGGGTGAGTTGGGTGTCGGGACTCAGGACGGATCCCACCATAAAGTAGTAGACTGGCGTGCAACCCAATTAATGTTCCCCTCAAAGCTTGTATTTGTTTGGACATAAGCCAAATAATTAGGAGGTTGATGTGGTGATATGTCGTCCTTATGTTTTGTATTCTCTCTAATGCTAGCTGGTATATATAGTGGGTCGATTGTTGATTGAATGGGCAAAGAAAAGCTATTTGTTCATCGTGTCGATTGACTGCTTGCTGTTCACTCTCTCTCTCTCCCCGCTGAGTCTTACTTGTATCGCGCGTCTGAGGAAAGACATTTTATCCATGGCTGTTTATTTCTGGGAAGTGGGAAGGATCCAATAATAAGTGATGGTTGCTGCACCAAAAGAACCGGCAAAGCGGAGGAGCTCAGAATGGAGAGGGCCCAAACCAACACTGTTGTTTGAACTTTTGGACTGGGTGTTAAATTTTGCTTCTCTTTGTCAAAGCATGGGTCGACCTCGCCCACTAAGTACCATATGAATCCACCCTTCTTCATCCACTGGCCTCTACCTGAGAAATGTGGATCATTTCAATGTCCAATCACCAGGCTGAATTTCCATCAATTCTGCTATTTCCTTTAATTTTAAACCATTTTTCAATCTATTTTAGGCTATGTTTGATTTAAAGGAAAAATTTTATAAATCTTCTATAGATTTCTTTGCATTTTCTTCCATTTTCTTACCTTTTCCTTCAAAACCAAACATAGCCTGAGGGTAATTTGAGTTCAATCTCCTCCAGAATTCCTAATGCAATCATACAGTTCTGATCAGCGTAAAGGGGGAAAAATTCTTAATTCAAGGGGATATTATTTATAAGGGGGGTTGTAGATAACATTTGGAAACCAATAAAATAAGTTCCGAAGGGGACTGAACTCTGAAAAAACTTTTTTTTTTACTAATTTTGATGATTTGGTTATATCCATGGCTTTTGGATGGTCGGACTGGATTCCCCAAAACCAGAATTTTGCTAAAAATATTGATTTTATCAACAAACCACTGACCCGGGTGGTTGAATCGTTCGACTCGCTTAACAGTTTTGATTGTTTTTTATTATTTTTAGTTTTTAAAAATTATTTTTTATCAGAACAGACCATCCATTCGATTCAAACGGTCAGACCATTTGACCCAAAACCAGACCCCTGATCGGTTTGTTGTCCAATTCAGTTTTAAAAACCTTGGTTATATCTATGATATATTATACTACTTGAACTCTGTTATAAAATTGAGAAATTTGGCTCAAGTCGATCAGCGAACCGTTCAATTTCACTTGCTCGTGGATATGTTCGTATGCCAAAATTAGAGTAAGAAACATGTATATATCTGTGTATGACCATCAATCGTAAATCAAACAATTAACAACTCTGCAGGAGAGACCTGCTAATCAGTAATCAAGCCAAGAAAATAAAACCATATGGACCATATGATTATTGGCATTAGGCCCACTGATTTGTTTCAGCCT